CGACAGCTTTAGAAAAAAAGCAAAGACGAAGCTGATTTAGCACTAGGCCATTTTGATCACTCGTCAAGAGAAATTTACTCTAATACAATAGTCTCTGACTTATTAATAAAAGTACATCATTCACGATGTCAGTAAGCAATAGTCTAAACTGGTTAGGACGAGCAAGAAACCGTATTGTCAATGTCGCAAGACTTGACTCGTAGAGCATTTTGAACTGAATTTTTTAAGGGCACTTCTTATGATACAAGAACACTAAATAGTTCTGTGATATACTAAAGCTGAGGTAGAATATTCAACCACTCTTCAAAAGTTTGTTGTAAGATTTTGAAGTTTAGAAGAGAGCAAAAAATGAATTTCTTTTTGGCTTTGGAACTGCCTTATAAAGTAACATTGTGGGTCGGCGTTTCCTTTAAATATTCTTACTCGTCGTATTAGTCTGTCAAACTTGATAAACACTTTTTTAACTCAGAGGTATTACTGCTAGATATTGAGATGCTTTTGAATTGAGCGTTTAGTCATCTCTTGATTATGGATGAATCTCTGAACCTTTTTTCAATACTGCTTCGCTTCTTCCTGGTTTCAGCCAACTATTCTTAATTATGATGTAGTTTTATAAGCGTGTGCATCTAGGCAATCCTATTGAACAGCTCAATTTCTGCTTTGGCGACAGCCTTTATTCGTTTATGGCTGCTTCAAAAGCGTCCCAAAAACTTTTTCGTTTTAAATGATTTCCTTGATAGGTGGATAGTTTTATTTTAAAAAGCTTAATACTTTTTTTGAATTAACAATTATTATTTTTTTTCTTTTCTTGTGGTTTACTTCTGCGCGCATTTCTCTGTTTATTCATCTTAGAGCGTCTGCAGCGCTGATTAAAACTGTTAAATAATTACTTTTCTTTACAGCATACTGCTTGTATTTTTCACTCATTAGTGACTTTCCTTTACCTATTAATTTACTCAGTAATTCTCTGTATTCCGTATTTTTCGCACTAGATTGGAGACACCACTTTCGACTTGTTCTTTTAACATCTGCGGCTCATTTGTTTTTGTTAACCGTTTTTTATGACTCTGCGCAATAATATTATTTTCAGAAACCAGTAATTTTTTTCAAGTCATTTATCTATATTTTCTCAAATAGAAGAAAAAAGTAAAACAAAATAAAATAAAAACAAGAAAAGAATATACTTATCGATATGTTTACTTATTTTGTTCAATTAACAATCAGTTTTTGACTACAGAAGCGTGAACAGATTTGCACATAAAACCTAAAAAAACTGTCAGTGATCTTTAATGCTGCTTTAATCATTTCAGCACACTGAAACGGTAATAAAGTTGTAGAAAGAAGCAGTTGTTAAACGGTGTTTTGAACACTGATATCCGTTGCCAATCGTTAAGCGCATAACGTTTCATAGTATAACTGATGAAAAAATGATCAGCTGGAAAACCTGGTCCAAAAATTTACTTATTCTTTGTTGTTTTCTCCTTTATTAATCTCTTTTTTTCTTGTTGATATTGTTATCGTTATCGTTGTTATCTTCTTTCTCTTCTCCTTTCTCAGTTTTCACTTATGCCTCTTAAAATTTTTTATTGCCTACTTGTACCTCGTGGAACAATTTTAAGTTGTTTCTTCTTCGGTTTCTCGTTAACCCCTTCTTCGTTTTAACTCTTTCACTGATCTGTTTCTTTAACAGAATAAGTAACTTGTACCAAGGCAGCTGTTTTTGAAATTATCAATTTAACATAATTTAAGGCTGCCAAAAAAGAATAAATTTTTTGAGATTTGTAGAGAAATGTTAATTTACAGAAAATCAGTTTTTTTTTTCGTTTTCAATTTGACGATTGAGAATAGCAGATGTCAGACATTTTGTAAAATGCCGTAAAATTAGAACTTTTTTCAGCTTTTATATTTTTTAAAAAGAAATTTTAAACACTTTTGACAGTGTAATCAAATATTGGCAGTTACTTTTTTTATTTTGGAGTTACCTTATTATTTGAAACAGAGTTTCGAAAAAAGTTTGCATCTTGGAGAACCATCTACAAGGGATAGTAATAAATGCAGTTGGAATAAATAATTTTTAGTAATATAAACATAGCAAACGAAGCTCAAAAATTATCAAAAGTTACTAGAGAATTCCCTACCAAATCAATTCAAATAAAAAAAATTGTTCTAATTTTACAAGCAGAGTACAACTGTTCTTCTTAAAACAGTTTTTTTTGGTGTATGGTACATTTTATCGTAGTGAAAGACAGGTAAAAAAAAAGATTAAATTAAACTTATTTAAACCCTCTTTTATAAAACTAGATATATCCAACAAAAATTTACATGTACTTTTTTAAGTTCAGTCTTGTAAACGCATATGAAATAAGTTAAAACACTTTTGAGATTCTTACGAAAACTAAGTTGTGATGGAGAAAAGCATTGAACCAATACTTCTGTCATCGTTTACAGTTAAGAAAAAAAAACAAGAAGTTTCGGAAAAAACAATAGGAACTGTTTGCTGTTTTAAGGAGTACTCATGTCTAACAAACACTTCTTTGCTAGTAAAGGTTACAGTGATCAGAAGGAAGCGTATTTTGTTAATTTCATGCAAACTATGGGAAGGATAAGATGCTGCATGCATCGAACAGATTTTTTAAAATCTCTTCAACTTCACAGTTACCGCTGTCATCTTTGCCTGTTTGCAGACGTAAATTGCTCGCCCCGCCTTTCTGGTCACTGAGTAACACTCTTAGGTTATATTTCAACCAGTAACATACAATACGATGACAACGCTCTTATGTACAGTAGTACGCAAGACAGTGAGGAACGGTCGACAAAAAAGTAACAGAAAAAAATAAACAGTTACAGAGGAAATTTTGCCGGCTTAGATGCACAATATATGTGTAATTATAAAATTTTTTAAAAGGTTTCAGTCAAAGTTGATAAAGATCAGAAGAAATAACCTCCCAAGGAAGAATTTCAATGTTTTCTTTCCAGGAATAGCGGCAGAGCGGGCAGCCTCTTTGACTCTGCGAAGACAAACCACTTCAAATAATCAAAACGACAGCAATGACAGACATATACGAAACGCTTTTACTTAAAAAAATCACCATTTTAGGTTTGGCTAAAAATTACCTTCTGCATTCGCCTGTATCAGCTCTGTCACTTCCCCACTGCAAAGCGCACTGTCGGCAACCGATCATTTGTTTGCAACTTATACATCCCACTGGTTCTTCTGGTCGCTCATAACAAATTATACACAACAGTTCTCGGTCATCTGTAGTAGCGCAGTGTAAATTGGTAAGTTTGTTGTATTTTTTTAAAAGAAAAATTATAAAATGTAGAATACAAAGATAAAATATATTACAGTTTAAATTATCTTCGCAACACGAAATAGCAACGAAAAAGGATTTATGTAATGTGAACAACTGTAGAGAAAAATAAAGTGAAACAGAACAATTCCAAAAGTCCTCATAAATGACATTGATATTTTCTCTTTGCTGGCACTACCTTCTTTTTTCGCCTCTTCGTTTGAAGAATCAATCTGCACATGAAAGTCTGTCTCTTCTTCGACAAGTTCTTCTATGAAGTCTATAACGAACTGTCTGTATCTATCATTTCAATCTACTGTTTACTAAAATTTAAACTGCTGTTACTGCTTTATATACGTTATTCGTCAAACAAACTCTTAAATGTAAAAAAGAAAATGAAAATTTTACTACAAATACTTGAAAGTTAATTTGTTTATGTAATATGTTATAAAGTTTTTATCTGATTTGTGTAAGGCAGCTGTTAAACTTTAACACATTAAATAAACTGCCAGCTTTTAAAAATTTGTCTACAGTATTGAAACAAAGAATGCACAAAAAATGTTTTCAAATTTCTGGAATAAGAATAAGAGATTTAGCAGTTTCTATTGAATTTCGATTACACAGTTCTTACCAACTACTGCTTTTGTGTAACCACAAATACGCCAAAAAAGCTAGAAGATTAATACATTGTTCTTTTGTTTGATCGTTAATATCTGTTTTCAGTCACAGTTATAAAGTTCTTTCCGGAAAAAGTCACTCTATTAACAAACTGCGTATGAGAATACATCATCACCATATTTTTTGGTTACAAACTTTTGTTTCTTACCTTCCAAAATTTTGCGAACGCCATACGACAAATCTTCCATTGAAAGGCATGACGAAACCATCTAAAACCATTAAAATTTCTACTTTTTCTGCTTATATAAATTATTCGTTTAGTGCATAAATTTCTGTTAAAATAATACAGTATGTGAAATAAAAACTATTACAAATAAATTTATTGAAAACAAGAAGCATTATCACAATAATATGGTATTGATAAAACACTTTCAAAAAAATTTATAAGAAATGTGTAGTATATTCAACAAAGAGCGAAAATAATTTATGTTTTTTGATTAGGTTACAATTAATAAATTTTTCAAAATTGGGCAGAAATAAAAATGAGACTATTGATTTACTCAATTCTTTTTTTAAAATTAAAGTATAGCAGGATATTTTCATTTATAAGAAGCAAAACTTTTCCAAGTTTACCTCAATGGCAAAATCTGTGTTAATATTGGCAGCACATTGAGCCAAATACCTCACAACTTGGACCTGGTTATTCTCACAAGCAATTTGCAACGAAGTTTTCTTAAGTAGCATTGAAGTATAAACGCACTTATTATGAAAATGAAGTTACAGTTGCTTGACACTGCTCGCAGCTAAACGTGACAATCTGCGTCTACCTAGTCACAGCCTGTTGTGCATAGCACCAAATCATCATCTATTCTAATGAGCTCTTCACAGTTAAATATATACAGAAAACTTGTGACTGCTTTCCTTTTTTTTTTTTAGCGAAACATGCAAAGCAGAAAAAATGTGTCTTAACATTTCTTCAGAACAACAGTAGTAGCGATAATAAAATTGCATAAGAAAAAAATAGAATTAGACTTCACCTTGTCCTTATTTTTTAATTCAATCTTAGCTTTTTTATCTATCAAATATTCCAAGATATCAAAGTATCCCTTTGAAGACGCTACGTGTAGTGATGTTGACTGAAATAAAACAATTTTTTTAAGTATTAGGCCACTCTTTTGCGCAATAGACGGTCTGTAAAAATAATAGTTTTTGGTGTCATTGACAATTACAAGACTTTTACTTGCAGTTGTTTTCCAACTTTCTTTATTGTAAACTTCTGGCAGGGCCAGAACTTTTATGTTTTTTAAAGTTTCTTTGCTTCTATCAAACGCTGAAGACTTAAAAACTTTATCAGCAATATAAGAATGTGACGAATTTGAAACTGATTGATAAAACTTTGAATTTCTTTGATAAGGCTTTACTCCATCTTCACGAGTTGCGTTTATATCTGCTCCATGTTCCATCAAACATTTTATTACAGACAAAAACCCTCGTTCAGAAGCGAGAATTAGGGGAGTCTTCTGAAACTTTTGCAGTGTCACTATTCAGTAAGTTACAGTTTCAAATTTCGTTTCATTTGCACTGTTGACGCTACTGACTAGTCAGCAGAAAAGAATAGTTATTTGTTAATAGCTGTAATGACAAAGTAAGTTTTTGTTAAGTTTACTTCTTCATAATCTCTTGCATTAACGTCAGCCCCACTTTTTAATAGATATTCTACTACGTCAACGTGTCCCTTCCAACATGCTGAATGTAGTGGCGTCCACTAAAAAAAAAAGGAAAATACTTTTACATAGTAATTCAACTACTGAAAAAGGTCAAACTTTACAGTGAGATATTTTTCATTTTTTTATTCTTGGTCACCGTTACATTTTTTGGTTGTCGACTGCAGTAAGGCCCACCCTGACCAAGAGTTTGCCAGTTCCGCTTGAACCAAGTAATATTCCATCAATTTGGCAGTTAAAACTAAATAAGTGTTTAAGATGTTTTACCTTCCAAGCGTTTCCTGTATTGATTTCCGCTCCATTTTCTACTAAGAACCTTACTATTTCAATGTTTCCTTGTTCAGATGCAATCCATAAAGGTGTGCTCTAAAAGAAATTATTAATAAAAATACCTTGTTAAACATTGTACGTTTCAAACGCTCTTAAAACTGATAAAAATTTAATCAGTTTTAACCAATTGTTTGGTTCTTTTCTTCTTTTTGAAAATAACAAAATGTCACTTTTTTAGTAAATAAAAATCATTAATTTACAAAAAAAAAAGTAAAGGTTAACTCGCCATTTAAGAAGTCATTTTTAGCAGCACAGCTATTTGCTCCACTTACTTTTGTAACGTTATAAACAGCATTTCTTAGCCACTAAAGTTCACCATTACCATCAAAATTTCCTCACTTGCACAAATTTTTATTAGTACAGATTGGCTAACATACCATAACATTTTTGTAGTTTTGCGTAAACGACTAATAATAATGCTGAAACCTTCTGCAGAACTATTATAGAGCAAATATCATATAGAATTTATTAAAATAAATTTGTACGTTCTAAAATCGTGTAAAACTTCTTCAAGCTGTTTATAAAACATTTATTACGAGAAGTGTTAGCAACAAGAAAGACTACATTTTTTCTGAACATTTTTAAACTTTTTTTCTAACAATGTTAAGCTAACAGTCAGCGCTGCAATTTAAGGATGCCTCAGCTAAATATTTGGTGTCTGAAAGATCATCAGTACGCTAAAAACTGTTGTCAAAGAACAGTGAATTACACTAGTGAAAAATCCTAAACTTCTCCGTTTAGACGTTTAGATAATCACCTTGTTACCATCCGTTGTTTCTATGTCAGCTCCACCGTCTACTAGGCCTAGTACCGTGTCAAAGTCGCCACTTCTACATGCTTCCATTAGTAAATTTTCCTATATTATGAGAAATTTTTTATAAGCCAAATTTTAAAAATTTTACAAAACTACGAGAAGTTAAAGTAATATAATAAATACTGATTTTTATTCTTACAAATTAACAAATTTTTACCATATCTTTACTAATATTTCAGTCTTTTTGAGTTGAGAATATGTCTTGGTAAGCAGAAACTAAGTCTTCGTTTTCCACAGTATTTAACTTGATCACTAAAAAAAATATATTGAATACTGTACTGTAAAACGTAAAAAAGTGCAGTGAAATAAAAAAAATAATATGCAACATTATTTTAAAAGCAAATTGATAAAATTCATGTTTTACAGAGATTTCACTTTGTATAATTTATAATTCTCAGGTATTACGAAAAACTACAGTTGGAAATTATTTAAATAAGCAAAGCTTAATTACGTTAATTTGACAAGCGTAAACTTCTCTAAACATAATTTCAAAGTTCTTAACTTTGTTTCTGATCCGTTCTGCTAAAAAAAAA